CTATATAAATTTCCTATTATAGCTTTGTATTAATATCTTTAATTTAATTATTTCAATAGAGATTTTAAATTTAAATTTTTTATTTTATTTTTATAAATTCCAATGATACCAATATTTTTGCTCTATAAAAGTGTATGGAAATTAATAAAAAATCTCTTATGAGTTGTTCTCGTGGATATATAAAATGATTAAAACACATAAGCACAATTTAGTTTTTTTAATAAAATATAATTAGTTTACTAAGAGAACTTAGAGATAAAGACAGATAGACCAGATTTGTTTGAATTTTTTTTTCGTATATAATGATATATCGTTGAATTTAAATTAAATACATACATCACAGTGTGATCCACTCAACGCCTACCATAAAACAGATCGGTGCTTGCCTTTTTTTAGTCAACATTAAATACTTGGTAAATGGATTATTGGCATTTGGTTTATTTTTTAATCATTACATATCTTCAATATTTAGCCTTTTTTTTTTTACTAAATACTTAAATTAAACTTTAGCAACTTTTTACGAGTTAGTATATTTAGTAAAAAATAATATTTATGCGTATTTTTTTGTATAGGCTGTGTAGATATATTATATTATAATATATGTAATATTTATAATTTATAAATTATGTCTTAAAAAAACTTACAGTTACAGTTAATTTTTTTTTTTTAATTATTATTTTTTTTTTGTTTCTTTTATTCAACGCTATAATAACTAAAAACTGTACACAAAAAAAATCTAACTTACAAAACGTTATTCCACGTTGTCAGTACACAAATGTACGCATAGTTAATAAAATTATTTATGTTTTTTTTATTTTTAGTTGCACGTAATTTTTACTGGTAAAAATTATCTTCTTACTTGTAAAGTTGGTATTTAATATTTATATATACCTATTAAAATTACAATATTGTAAGTATTCAATTTGTCTGTAAGATTAGATGTAAAACACTTTTAGTGCTATTAGCATTTAATATTGTGTGAAATTATTTTTCATTTTTTAAGTAATTATAATAATTTATTAAATACTGTAGGTATTTAGAGTGCGCATTTTAAAATAGTTTAAAACTTAGATATACATCACTAGTTGTTTGTAATACGCTTGACACGTTTATCACCACAACTTAAGGTAACTGAAGAAGGTAATCTAATTAATTTTGTATATTAACATTGTGTTCATGGTTTTTCCATACACAAGCTGTTAAGTGTTCTATGTATCTGATTATACATTTTAAATTGCATTAGTAGATATAATAGGTATTTGATTTATTACATATACAATACTTAACATTGCATTTTCAACTAGCACGTGATACGAATGCGACTTCATTTTAATTAATATTAGCAATTATTTCTACGGCTATGGTATTCTGTTATTTGAATTTAATACAATATATTTTTTCAAAGTACACATGACGTGTATGATTGCTGAATACTATTTCAATAAGCACGTGCGTTTGATAAATAAATTATTTGCCAAAATTTGCATTACACGTACAGTGCAATATTGTAATTAGTGTATTAAAGAACTTGAACTCTAATTGATTTCTGTCACTCAATGTTGTATTAAACTATAAATAACTTTGCAAATTATTAAATTTAAAATCAAAAAAAAGTAATATTAATAGATAACTTAGTAATGTCACTGGATAAAAACACCCTGACACAATTTTCAAGAATAAATACAGTCTTATGTATTACATATTTTTACAATCTCGACTTGTATCATGTCAAACATAATACGTAAACACAAAAACAACTACTACTCGGAATGACGGACATGAGTGAGATTATTGTCAGCTTCACAACCTATTCAAAAGAGCCAAAACGATCGCGTTCACTGAAATGCACAATAATAGCGCTCAGCACGTATTTTAACGCCAAAAATGGTGTGTTTGACGAATGAACGAATCCCATTTATTATTACTCACTAGAACGTTCTTACAGTAAAAACTATGTTTACAGTAATGCCAAAAGCACAGACGATTGTTAAGTTCGCAATGGCTTATTAACTGATAAAATAAATATGTTTCGGAAGACACGGGCTTTTTCAAGTGTGAAGAAGGTTCAAACAACATATATCCATCAAAACAGTTTCCGTACCACGGTCTTAGCGACACGATCACATTTGGAGCATGCCATAAAGAGCGCTGCATTCAAGACGCAAAGGTTGGACATTTTGTGTCTAAGATATGTGTATTCGTACGGTTCATTTATATCTGTCTGCATGAAGTAGCCAGGTTGGAGTCCTTCGACGATAGCTAATTATCATATTAGCTTAACATTTCTCCGCGATTCAAATATTCAACTCATGTGTTCAGTATTTTATTATAACCACCTATGTATTAAACCATAATAATTATAATTATGATCCATATTAATTCAGTATCTAATCATTAGCGACAAAGAGCGCTTTAAATATTTTAAGGCACACATCTTCGGAACGTTATAAACATCTGAACTCTGAAGTAAGGATAGGTATACACGTTCGATTTTACGATTTAAATTATTTTGTTCACATAATTAATGTTGTTAATATTTTTGGTAATTGTCATTTCGATTTATTTATCATATGAAATTATTTGATTCACATAATAATATAATATTACAATTAATAAGGTGATTACAAACTAATCATTTAGAGTAAAAAGTAGAATATTATACGATATAAAATGTTTTCACGCCTTTATTTAAATAAAAATAATTAATAGTGAAGTAGGTAATGAAAAATGAAAAATCCATTGTTATTTTTAGACGCTGCTTAATAATAAGTCAAATGTTTTCATGTAAATTTTGTATACGTTTTAGCAATACAATACATCACTCTAACAAACATTAAAGTACATTAAAATAACGGAGAAATATACGCGTTTAAGCGTTAATTCATATTTTTAAATGCAAAGGGTGCATTATTGAAAATTATAAAGAATTGTGGACCATTTTAATGCTCTAATTTCAAACACAGTTATTCATATACAATACGTTTTAATGTATCAATTGTATTTGTATGAAGAATTGTGTGTGTTAATAAAAAAAAAAATGAGAGACGAAAAAAAATGAATCACTGCAAAAGCTTATTTAGAATGGATAAAAAATACATACTAATAAATATGAAAAAGGAAATAAAATAGGTAATAAAAAGTATTACTATTATAGAACCTATGATGGTTTTTATGCTTTATTATATTTTACTAAGTGGGTTTTTATAAAATGTAAACTATAAAGTGTATATTATTAGTATTTGTGTGTTTATAAAGTTTGCATTCATGATGGCATTTCACATTCATAAAATGGAAGTGTATATAATAAAATAAAATAACATGATATAACGTGATAAATTAATAAAAAAATAATGTTCAAATTAAAATATTGAAAAATAATAATTTTCGATTATAATAATGACCAGAATAACATAAATAGTAGTATAAAACTATCAAATCTTAGAAAGTTAACAAGGTTTTTTCACTTTCGTATAAGACATAATAATAATAAAATTATTATAGTTTTGTAGACAATGATGAATTTAAGGAAAATAAAAATAAAACAAAAAATTCTGTTTGTTGTTTATTGTTCAAATGTACTGTAAAATTCAATTTCCCTATATTCGTAGGTTATATATTCGATAACAATTTAATCAATTTTGATGAAAATTTCAGAGATTTCTTTAAGAGATATCAAAAAAGTATAGAAAGCAGTTTTAACTACAATACCAATTGAAGGGGTTGGAAAAATAGCCAGATAAATTCACTTTTTTTTTGAAATTCATATTGTCTTGATTTATTGTATAGGATAAAATTACATACACATTATTATCAGTCGAATTTGACTAATATAAATGTATTTTATAGTGGGGTTTGACTTATCTTGATTTTATATTTAGTGTAACAACCAGATAAACCTGGATTAATGATAACTCATTTTTTAAACCAAGTCTTTGTTTTGTTACTACTCATAAGAATTTCAATAAAAATTTTAAAATGTATGTTGAAAATAATTTAATTACTAGGTATTAATATATATTCCCGAAAAATAATTTGTGGAATGCAACAATCAGATAAATCAATAGGCTCCATCATTTTCCTAGCTACTTGCATCTAAAGATAAAATAAAGTTAAGTCATTTTTAAGTCATTGTTATATTTATCCTAACAAAATAATAATAATAATAATAATAAAAAAAGAAAAATCTTAGTTGTTATAATGATTAACATTGATTCATCATAAAAATAAAACACGTTTTATCAACTCCGAATAATTTCAAAAATTAGATTTATCTGGTTATTGTTCCAAGCCCTTCAATTTCTTTCTGTCAAAAGTAGATTACCTATCTCAGTAGTATTAATTCATAATGCAAGGTACACTGATGCCAATATGTACAAAGTTCACTAAGACAAAGATGCTCGTATACGCGTAATGCAGTATTTTAAATTAGTTCATATTTCCAAAATTTAGTTTATAGAGCAATTTATACATAATTATTAATTCAAAATATAACTAAATTGTAATTTATAATCGTTATAGTTAAAAAGTCATGAAATAATCTTAATATGAGTTTGGCTTGGAAGTATTTAACAAAATATATACAAACACTATAAGATGAAGTTTATATTGTTTCTTAAAACTTTAGTAATAATATATTTTACCTTCTCGTCATAATTAATAATACTGGAAATTATGTTTTTTGCTTTATATATGCTTATATATAATATAACATATAAATTGTTAAATTTATTGTTGACCACCAAAAACATAATAGCTTTCACAAAATACACAACAACTGTAACAATTTGAAATTTAATTTAAACAGTAATGTATTATTTAATTTAACATATTTTTACTCAAAGCTTACTTTAAAGTGGAGTGATAATTTTTTTCTGTTTTGATTACTGTAAAATAATTGTTTTCTACTCATAATATAATAATATTATAATATTATCATTTATGCAATAATAAGTATTGTTTTATGAAACTAACAAATATATTAATATGTATATATATTCTAGGTTGGCTGGTTAAAAGCAGAAGATCAAACCATTCTAAGTTTACATGAACGTGTGGTTACGGAAAACCGAAGAATAGACATAGATGTGGATAATAACACATATTGGAGACTCAAAATTCGGCAACTGCAAAGATCCGACAAAGGATGTTACATGTGTCAAATTAATACGAATGTTATGAAGAAACAAATTGGCTGTGTTGACGTAAAAGGTAATTTTTGACAGTTTACTTTTTTACGTTTACATCACAACTTGAATAATTAATAATGTAAAACAATTACATATAACTCGTAAATCATTTTTAAACTGTCAAAAATAAAAATATAATAACATGTATATTATAGGCATGATTATATTACGGACATAGAATTTGAATCTATTTTATAGTGCATGAATATACATATGAACTAATATGACGTTATTATTTATATGTTGAATTTTAATTTTTCAACATCTTAACCATAATAATATCAAGTAATATTATATTATGGTTAGTTCTGAGTATTTTTTTGAAAATAATATATGATAACTTAGCAAATTATGAAAATATTTAATCACATAATAAAATATTTACAAAGTATAGGTATATTTATAAATAAAAATATTTTTAATCAGTTAATTTTAGTTAAATGGTCGAAAATATAATTCAACAACTGAATTGTCTATATAAATTGTAATTTACCTTCAAAAGTATATAAAAGTAATATTTACAATATTATTTTTTGTCAGAAATATATCTTACGAAAAGAGATAGAAAACCATTTGAGTGGTCTGTAAGTTAACCAGTTTTAAAATTATTGCATAAATCCACTATGCGAGTTAATATATACATTAAGTTTATATTTTATTAGTTTTTTGTCTAGAATATTGTTTTTATCATTTATTGATTTTAATTTCCGTTAAGTTGACCATTTCATATCAGATATTGATTATAATTTTTGGAAAAAAATTCCAAACACGACGTTTAATTATTTATTACTGCAATTGCTGAAAACATAAAAGCTTTTCAATTATTGCGGTGTATGACAAAATTCGAGTGAGTTTATTTCTGTCTACGATTTATTTCAAATTTGTCAATTGCCATAATATTAATGTTCCTATTGTTAAACGGAGTTTAAAATGTCATCGACGTGGAGTTACTGCGCATTTCGTTGTTTACATGAAAATTATGTTAACGATCATTGGTGCACAGGCGCAGGTACTTAGTATAAATTATGTTATTATTAGAGTTAAAAAAAAAAAAGATAAATAAATAATGGTATTTGAAAAATGATAAAATGATAATAGCGTTGACTAAAGTGCTCATAAAACGTTTATTCAATTTTTAATTTAAAAAAAAAAAAAAATTAAAATTAAAATTGTTATTATCTCATCAATATTAAAATGTTCGTGCATAAAAAAAATAATCTAATTGTATTATACGAGTTATTTTGAATAAAGCAAAGATGTTACAAAAAAAAAAAAAAATATATATATATATATATACATAAATATTTTTCTATAATATTATACAAACTATTTTATTTTTAAGTTCTTGAAAAAATAATCAAATATTTCATGCATTAGAATATTTTACTAAAATTTTCTTTTGGGACTATTTGGTTGTCAGAATCTGTGTGACAGAATAAATGATGCGGTCAACTATTGTGGTGATAAACATTTATGCGGCAGAAACTTCTGTTCTACCTTTTCACTCATTTGTTACACTCTCTCGCAGACTTTGGTTGTAAGCCATTTACCGAACGACAATAATGACAATTAATTTCGTTAAACTGTTTAATGTCTATACAAATCAACATTAATATTGTAGTTGACTTGTACATTTTTTGAATTTCATTTTGTATTGTTAACATCGTACATACAATATAAGATGATAATAGTGAACTCCATATACTTATCAAGTATACAATTAATATTTTATTTTACACAAATCTTAATGGTTACAGTTTAATTATTATTAAAGTATCAATGATGTATTTTTTTATGGTAAAAATTTCATTTATTATTTATTAAACTATGCAATTTATTTAAAAAATTTCTAATAAAAATAATACTATATTTTTTGTTTGACCAATTGGCCATTGTATGCAATTACTCTCAACAGCGGTCTTCACAAAACGAATGCGAAATGTCATACTATAAAAATATTTACAATTTTTTAGTGAAGCGTTTACAAAAAAACTTGTATTTTTCCCTTTATTTAATATTCATATTATAACTACACCACGAACACGTGTTCAGTACACTGGCAGCGAGAATATAACCTGAACTGGGGTCATAACTAGAGAAATAACAGTTATTTTTCCAAAGTTATTTTTCGTTTTTATACCGGGTTTTTGTAAAGTTTTGGTCTCAACTTTATTCTCGTAGCAAAAAGAAAAAGCTAGATGGCAATTATTGTCTGACAAATATTTTTACTTTCAAAGAGGGGTTTTTTGGCACGTACTTGAAACCCATTTCTACAAAATAACAGTCAAGAGTTTGTTTGGTTTTTTTGTCATGTTTCTCATGCAAAATATTCAACGATTTTAGTTTTTAAAATTTAATGAACTTTATAACGACGGTGTTTATTTACACACTTAAAAGATTATTAATATATTTTCAAGTTTTTTCTGTAGTCGGACTACAGTATCTGACATCAATTATTATTTTATAGATACTCTTGTTTCAACTTAAAATATGACAACAATAAGATACATTTATATGATACAAACCATAAAAAATAGCCATATTTTACATCCAAGCTAGATGGTCATAGATACTTGATAGTCATGACTAGGTAAGTCACAAATTACAATAAAACTCTATAATATTATATAGAATAAAATATAGTTAATATAGTATAATATAGTATAACTATATAATATAGTTTGGTCATACTTGCATAATAAATTTCCGACAAAATGTAATTTCTGAGTAGAACAACGACTATATTGATTTTACAGTGATTTGCTTCTTTTTTTTGTCTGTCATCAACTTTTGTGGCCATATAAATGCTTGATTTTCAACTTTGAGGTTGATAGAAAATCGGATTTTGTTGGAACTATAGGAGATTAAAAGTAAGCAATTCATAGACATTTTTGAAATAATCAGAATAAACAATAAAAGAATAAAATAAAGTAAAATAAAGTAAAGAAACCCGTAAATTTACGTAAAACGAATTTTTGATAAGATAAATTTTAATATTTTCTTATTATTCAAAAAATAAATATAAATACTTGAAAGATCCACTTAATATTTATACTAACGTTTTTTAGATGGTAGAGTATTCAGTTTTTTATATTTTTGATTTTTTTTCTGAACATATCATTTAAAAATTTTACTTCGTAAAAAAGCTTGAAAAAATAAATAAATATTCCTGTTAAATTTTTATAACAGTAATTTCAAAATATTAAAAATAGATTGTATTTTTACATATAAACCATTTATTTAAAATTTATAATTTAACAAAATCCTTAATATTAACCAAAATGTATAAATAATTGTACCGTAGTCCAAAGTTAATGTAATTTTTAATTTTTATGTGTAATATTTGAATATTTATATACAAATATATTAAACTACTAATTTAAAAATTAAGCTAGATTGAAAAATTAAAATACGTAAAGGTTTATTGGTTTGTTGTTGTTTTAGTTATTATAAAATTAATTTGTTGGGTCCAAATTATGTATATCATATGTTAAGAAGGTGACAATATTTTTTGGGTATGATGTTATGTTTACCCATGGGTTCTGTAAACATAAATTGGTGACCACCATACAGAAATACATAAGAAGTGTATAATCTGTTAAACTCAAATTATAGATGTTATTACGGTATAGAATAAACATTAACGTAGAGCTCCCAGTTACTTGTTAGTCCCCAAAGTTTAAACACAGTATGTGTGAGCGGGGTTATTTAAATTTTCTGTTTACAGTACGTGATAAAACTAAAATTAACTGATATGGTTTTTCAGTGTGTATAAGGTTTGTTTTTGTGTCATAGCAGCACCTTTGGTGACGCAGCTATAAATTGTATAGATCGTCCTCTACATGGGTATTTATAACAGGAAAAACATGAAACCCAAACAATTTATACAATATTTTTTAATATATGTTAAGATAATAATAGCATAAAGTGCTGATGTATGGACCTATATAATGTAGAAAATCATAAAATTTCTAATGTTATTTAATATTTAGAGTTAGTTTAAATTAATTGGATTTCACGTGTACTATACCCAATCATTATCTGTGTAAAATAGATTTTAATGACTTTAGTTTCATTAATTTCAAATTAATAACTTTAAAATTGATTAAAAATAAAGTAATCGGTACAAAAAAAAAATTCATTTCGTATAAATAACGTAACAGACTTGAACAACATTATTCAATTTTTTATAAATTGATTAAATATAAATGAAAATTATTCAAATTTTAATATATATCATAACGTTTTTGATAAACATACATCTAAATACAGTCGAGTGTTACCGCTGGGTTGCTACTCACCTCACGCATTCACAACAATTGTATTTCAACCCATATGCTTATTGTAACCATTATTACAGATTGTATATATTCTAATAAATGTTAAAAAAAAAAAAAAATACATCTAATTCATTTGTTTGTGTTGATTCTTAAAAAAAAAATGAAAATGTTTAAAAAACTGGTTGAATAATAAAATGCGAAGCTTATAAAAATAAAATTATTTATAGTTGATAAATACATGAAACGAACCTCCACAATTAATTTATTGCAAATCTATATTTCGTTCTAGTATTCAATTTATATGTTTTTTTTTTAAGAATTTCAAACAAATTACTGTCTATGTTAAATTATTAATGATTATATAGGTACCTATATTATAAATTTATAAACATACGTATAATGGAATATTTATGTATGTGGATTTTTTTTGTTTTCTATGCTTTTTTGGTAGTTAGTACATTGATAATGAATTATTGCCTAGTATTATATCCATGTTTGATCTAAAACTAGAAAATATTTCTTAATACAGATATCTCAAATAAAATATATAAGAACAATAATTATTTGTCAAAGAATTTGTTTCTTGTAGTAAATTAATTCCGTTGTTTTTATATTTTGAATTCTTGAACATATTTCGAGTATTCTACTTCATATTATCGAATGAGTTCATAATTTTTTTTTTTAAATTTTCTCTTAATATAGATTTTTAATAAGTTATTTTAGATTCTATTAATGTTTTATATTTAACCATGATTTAAGATTAATGAATAAAATAAAGAACAGTTAAATATTATGTTTTTCTCTTAATTTATCTCTTACAAGTTTTATGTGATAATTTCATTTTATTTTTGACCATAAGACATTATTAATCTTTAAAATAACAAGTTTAAATTAATTTTATAAACGTTTAGCATTTAAAAATATTATTATTTAAAAAAAAAATTCATTTATTTTATGTGAAACTGAACATTTCATAAATGCAAGATTTTAGACTTACATGTAAGGTTAGGTTACATTATTTCGTGTAGGAGAGTTCTTCTGGCTGACCCAGAATTTGATACCTTTTTGTTATTATAGATATTACTATTTTCTTCTTTATAGATTCCACTTATCCTAGAATCTATTTCACTACTGGCCGAGACTATTTTTTAAACCTTATTGTCATTATATTAATATTTTTTTTAGTAATCCTAAATATTTTTATACCTATACAGTTTTTTTACAAGTTAGCATCTTGTTTAATAACTTGTAATATTTAAAATTTAAAACTATTACGTCAATACGCAATTTTAATGAAAATTATATTACATATTTGTTTATTATTAACAGTTCCGCCGGACATCAAAGACGAAGAAACCATATCTGATATCACTGTAAATGAAGGTGAAAATGCTACGTTGGCATGCAAGGCTAAAGGCAATCCATTACCAAAAATTACTTGGAGACGAGAAGATGGTCATAAAATAACTATAAGAAACAACAAATCAAAAAAAACATCATGTGAGCAATTACGTTTTTTTTATAATTTTAATACAATTTTTAATATAATATGTGTACTAGGAATTTTATATCTTATTTTAAAAACTATATAATATAATGTACTAATAATTAGTACAGTAAGTACATGAAATAATGTGAAATTATAGACATGGGTAATGTGAGTCAGGAGCAATGCATTAGTGATACTAGTGTTAAGTTATTCTTAACATAATTAGAATATTGAAGAGTATTTAAGGTGTAAAGTTATAGGTAATACAATAAAATACAATAATGACGTTATATTATTCATAAGTTTTGAGGTAAAGATATAATTATTAATTGTAGACTATGGAATATATTGCTTATATAATACAGTAAAAAGTAAAAAAAGAAGACTAATCAAGGAATTAATATTTGAGAAAAATGTTTATAACGATATTTTATTTTTATAACTGTTTGGTAGTTTACAGTAGGAATCAAAAATAGGCATAAAGTTGGTTGATCAGAATAGTGTGAAAGTTGGAAGGTATATCATGTATTTTTTTTTTTTTTAAAGGTTAAAATGGTTTGGATGATTATTTTATCGACGTCCGAGAAGAAATTTGTAATATAGAGATCTCTTTGATGTTAGATGCATAATTTATTACTTTCCACATAATGCGCACTTAGGTGATCTGCTTTTGTCTTTGATAAAGTGGGTTGAAATGTAATCTTCTCTTTACTTGGACTAAGTATGACATGAAATAATAATAGCCATTTGAAGTATGCCAATAGCCCAACAATGAATTGTGATCTTATAATAAAAAACTTGATTTTATATTATCTTATTTAATTTTGATAATTGTGTACAATAAACAAATCGTGGGATTTTATGAGATTAATATCATACTATTCCAATTATATTTTTCTATAAATAATCAATTAGCGTTCTTATTTAATTGTTATTAATTCAGTATATAATAGGTAAAAACTACATAAATTAGTTTTAACAAAAAGTAAAACTGCTTTATTATGTATCATATTATATAATTATTATTTATATCTGTAATCATTTTTTTAAATTATTATTATTTTCCAATATTATTATACGATAATATCGTATTTACTTATAAATATGAAAATATCGCAGTTCGGTAATAATGACGTATTTATATATTGTTATTAATGATATGAATCAAATATTTAATTAATTGTACATACAGTTTTACAAAAATACATTAATGTTATTTTTTTTAATTTAAAAATAATTAGTAAATCGTATAAATAATGTTTTATGTTTATTTTTCTTTGAATTTTCAAACTTATAATAATATGTGATTATTTTTTAGACTTTTTTTATGCTATATCTACTTTACAGACACATTTCCTGTAAATATATTTATGTTTAGAATACACAGTATATGTTATATTTAATTAAGAACACATGTAAAGATAAATATAAATACGGAAATGAAATTTTCATGTAATATAATTATAGGTTTTTGATATCTACAGTTATAATAGAGGTCAAGTAAGTTAAACTTGATGAGTTTAGATGTGTATAATTATATTAAATTAATCAGCTTATTTTGATTCAAAGAGTTAAGTATGTACTTCTAGTTATATAATTGCCATTAATCAGTATGTGTGTAACTTAAATTCACATAAACTTAGGATGAAATGTTTTAGGTGTGTTTAAAATATTTAAGTAGTATTTTTAACCTACTTTTAAATAAAAATAAATATATATATATATATACACATTATTTGAACACTATTATAGAATTTAATTATAATATATCTCATAAAATAGTTATTGTTTCGTGTCTCAAACACGAATACTTCCTTGAACTATTCATGCTGAGTACACACACTTCTATAATCTTTAGATGTTTTATGAATTAATGACTTATATTTATATTCTGATATTTACTTTTCACGTTATAAGTTAAAGTTGTATATCTGTAAAAGGTATGCTTAAAAAAAACTATTAATTGAACTTGACATTGAGTAGTATTTGACATTTTTATTACAGTTTATGAAATATTAATTCAAAATAAAATATGCCGATAACGGTACATTATAGTACATCTAATAAGTATATTATTATTTACTGTGACATTTTCTGATGGGTGTACAGTTTTAAATCCACGTCAGTGAAAATATAAGCTTGTTTGAATTCCTATGAATAAAAATTAAAGTGTTACGTTATGTAAACAGACCATTAATTTATTACTCTTTTCCTGTTCTATTTGTTTCGTTTTTTATTTGACAATTGTAAACCGTTTTGATCACATACTTTAACTTATATTCTATAGTTCTAAAAAAGATCACTTGATTACTAATCGTATTTGGCTAATATAGGGGATAACTGTTATTAAAGTAAAACAAATTTTACTAGTACATGCTTATTAATTGATATTTCATCTTTTTAATTATATTTAGTTGTAATTTACAATATAACGTAGTTTTTAGAATCAGGAATAAACATTATTAGTTTTGTTATTTATATTTTCAGAAAAAAAAATATTGAAGAGAGATTTTTTTTTTTTATGTTTTATTGAGCGTACAATTCATTCAATATAATATATTGGTATATTATACCAAATGTGTTTTATTATACTTTAATAATTATAAATTATTATAAATTATTTAAATTAATTCACTGCTATTTTTTTAACTACTTTGTTTCTTTCGTTATCCGTACGTCAAATACGTTGAATTTATATTTTATATTATAACTACTAACGATTATTAGTCATTTGAATATTTTTAAAAGTGTAAATAATAGGTTCAGTATGTCAGTATTATAATTATTATTTGAAATACCTACCTAGTGATATTGATTTTGCATGGTTTTATTATTTGTTGACCAGTCGATAGAGTACGTGGAGAACCGCTGTTGCTTAACAGAGTAGACCGCAGTCAGATGGGACATTATTTGTGCATCGCGTCTAACGATGTTCCACCGGCTGTTAGCAAGAGGATCACGTTAAACGTTAACTGTGAGTATTCAGCGTCCGGTCAATATCGAGTCCCTTTTCAGAAAACCACAAAATCGTTATCAGAAAATTAATTAAATAATTTGAATATTTGGATTACACGAAATATTCACCGTCCGTGGTTCAAACACACTTGGTGACATTTCATTAAACTGTTATTGACCAAATGGTTATTTACAATACGGTACTCAACTATTTTGAAGCACTTTACCCAATTGGCAATAACTGTGAATTTAATAGTAAATACGATAAATACTGCGAACGGGAATAATGTCAAATTTTCAATAGGTATCCAAATGAGTTAAATACAAACGTTTTTGACCATTTTTTTATTTTTATTTAGATATATATTTAGAAATAAATTCTATCCAGATTTATTAGTATAAATTAATTTTTTTTAATATAAACACGTTAAACTTTTCAAATTAAATTATTTGGCTCAGCTCATATTAGATGTATAAACCATAATTTATATTATACATAAGATGATTTATTAATAATGATGCTTGATAATTAATGACATTTGATCGATGATGTCCCTGTTACCCAAATAATTCAAAATAGGTAGTTTACTATTGATAAACTGGCAGGTGTAACATGTATTATATAAGCTTCGTATACTATGTATTATTTATGCAAAATAAATATGGGATCCATTCATTTTTAATAATAATTTTATGTAATATGTTTTATTTGTGTTAAATGTAAAACTGAACTGTTGAGATAGTACGTATAAACTAATATTTTTTTTAACGCTCATTTTACAATTCTAATAAATTTTAAACCACGCAACTTATTAACAATGTTTAATAATATATTTTATTTATTTACTAGGTGATAAAAATGGTTTTTTTTTTATTGGAGAATATACATTTTTTGATAATCTTTAAGGTCTATAATTTAATAGAAATATTCCATGTTTAACTAGCTTACTGCAGATATTTTTTATGTAAAATAATTTAAAATTATTCTAAATATAACCTCAACATAGAACAATAAATATTTTTAAATATGTCATCAAGTAATTGAATACTAATATACGTTTGTAATACATATTTTTTTAAATTTAATATAAGAATTTATTTTATATTCTTTGGGTTATATATTGTGTTTTATTATTAACATAACTTTAAATTTTTATGCAATGATATAAGAATACATTTAGAAAACAATACTAAAAGATAAAACCAAATTTGCTTAATTATTTTTCATATTTTAATACCTACGTATCAGTTTTTACTCTTACACTTAACGAAAACTAATTAAAAACTGAAAAGTTCGGATACCCACTTGACTCGATTTGCATTCGATGAATTGTGTTACACAAAATTTTTTAAGCACCCCTTTTCAGAGTAAAAATATTCAAAATCATTGTGTGTATCTGATATATTCTTTTTAAATTTCTTTTTTTGTCCACTATTCAAAATAAGATGGTAAATAAACCCTTGATAGTTTTATTAAATGTATTATGTTTTTATATTTTTATTTATTTATTTATTTTTTTGAGTTTGTATAGTTCTAATCGTTCAATTGATGTATTTATTTATATTTTGTTGTTAAAATTGCAGTTTCACCAATAGTTTGGGTGACGAATCAGATTGTAAGTGCACCACTTCATACACATGTACGACTGGAGTGTTTTGTAGAGTCGTTTCCACTTTCCGTCAATTACTGGTCTAATGAAAAAGGAGAAATGATTCTTCAAGGGTAAGTACTATACTCTGTACCAAAAGAGATTCTTACAGTTCTGCGCATCATGACTATGTCTATGAAAACACAATTTTCCCTTTGATCGACTGTTCGGCACGCGACGATCATGACCACGATAATTTCCAAATTTTAACAATTTGCATGGACTGAGTTATAATCATCATCAATTTGTGACTGTGTGTAGTATATGTTAAGTGATATTACTACTATTTTAAATTCTCAAACCTACGTATTCACTCATGTACATTCTATGACGTGTGTACACAATTATTCTCATTAATTTTAATCAATCATATTTTCACAAATATATACATTTATTTTTAAGCTGGATGGGTACAGAATTTTTGATTTTTTAGCTTTAATCAATTTTGAGTAAAACTAAATATTACTACTTATTATGTTACTTACTCACTATTACTTTATAGTTAATATAATAATATTGCATAATAAATATGGATAATATATTATATAATTATTGTTGTTGGTATAACTTCAGATTTTATGTATCTAACCATTTTGAATTGAAAAAAATAACAGTTACAAAAATAAATAATTATTATTCCGTGAAAGATAGCGACAACGTATTCGTATTCGTTAAAATTTGAGATTATTTATTTTCTGTATAAATATGTTTTGGTGTTGGATCGAGTCACCGGACATTAGACGGTTTGTTGGTGGAGCATGCACGGTGTTGGACGAAAACTGGTTGTTGTCTAGTTAAATCTCTCCCTTGAAACAAAGTATATATGCTTATTCATATATTTATTGAACTACTAATATATACCTACTTAAATGTATATGACTCTTAATAGTTAAAAATTATGTTATTTGATTCAGGCTAAATACACATAGTACAATCACAATTAAATATTCAGTTTTTTAGTAATTTATGAAATTATTTGCATAAATATTCATCATTTAAACGATTTAAAACATATACATTTTTAATTTTAATAAGATCCAATTCACAATTTATTGTTTGGTGGTAATATCATGAATATTTCATGAATAAATTATTTTAACTGAAAAATTATAAGTGTGTATATTATTTCTATAAAATTACTGAAGAAAAAATCACTTTATACATCATTTTTAAATATATACAATAAACTACAACGAATATTTAATCGATAAAAAGTATCTCCGAACGACGTTTAGAAACCTAAAATGAATTAAAAAGAATACTTCGTTAACTTAATTAAAATGTGATAAATTTACCGTGTGTGATACAAGTTTATATTAATAATAATCAAATTTATAATTTTAATTAAGAGGCTTTAAGCATTTTATAATATTATAAATAACTCAAATTAAAAAAAAAAAAAACTGTGTGTGTTCATTTTTTTCTCGTATTTTAAAAGCTTATGTGAAACATAAAAAGGTGTATCATTATTATTTAACAATAGGTACTCGCAAAATAGCAAAACAATACATTGAGGTATTGAATTGTACGTATGTACGCAAACCAACTGATGAATTATTATTTCCCAGACATTATAATAATGTATTATAAATGTGTAAACGTAAAAACCTGAAGTTTATAATTTATCTACCTGTATGGAAAACAAAAATGTTTACCATGGGAATACCGTTAATCAAATACCCGATGGTAAAAGGTTGGAAAACAATCGGGATTCCCAGTCTTAATTAAGCCGTTCATTTCTTTACTAACACTTGTTTATAAAACGGAAAAAAAATAGTGAAAGAAAAAAACTACCCAGAAGCAAATGGAAAATGCTCTGTTTTCTTGTATAATCTGTTAACAAGATGAAGATGACAGCGCACAGGATGGAAATGTATAATATATTTCTTTTTTGTTGTTTATTATTAGTTGTTCAATAACCGAGTCGAGTCACGTCTTACACTCCTTATCATGCAATTAATTACAACGGTCATATTTTGGGGTAAAGGCCAAGGCGGAATTAGTTATCTGATCAAAATTTCCTGTTCCATCGATCATCCAAAAGAATAATCTTTTTATTGAAAAATATAATAAAATATCTGTCAATGTTTGATAAAAAATCACGGAAATAAGCTGAAATCGTGGTCTTTTACCATTATTTTTGAATTATAAATTAATTTAAAAAAATAAGCTCAATCTATCAGGTATTTATTATACTAATTTGAAATGATTTATGAAAAAAATGTCAAGAAATTAAAAACATATTTGGCAATAAATTAACTACATTTTTAAAAATTATGTTATTGATATAATAAATTTTACAATGTTTATGTATGATAATAAAATTCGTTAAAATATATTTTTACATTTTTTTAAATTATATTATTATACCTAATCTTATATCACGTATTATTATATTTTTTCAATGGTATAAAAATTTTAATGGTAAATAATCTAATTAACACATTACGTACTTATTAAGACAATCAAGATCAATATTTTTATAATAGTAACACTTAATTGTTTTTTATTTTTTTTTTTTGAGCATATTATGGTAATATTTATGTTCTGAAATATAACTTGATTTAGTAATGGTAAACTTAAATGTTAATTCTTGTTCAAAAATTCTTTTTATTAATAAGTTATTAATTACCTGGTGTAAAAAGTTAAATGTTTATAAAAGTTGAGTGGATTAGTATGGTATTATTTGCAAAATTATAGTTCATTATTTCGACCACATAATATACTTTTCTTATTGTTGTTTAAAATGTATTTAAATCATAAAAAGTTGAAAATATTTGTATTTAAAAAATATTTTTATTTTTTTGTATTGCTAGCACCTAAAATGTAATATAATAGGTTCCTCTATAATGTAATAGCTTAAATATATATATACGAGTATATAAACAAAATTTAAGTTTTTTTAAGTTAAAATTTAGATGATATTAGATATTTAAAAGAATAATTATTATTTTAGTTATTTTATCATTATTTAAAAATAATGTTTATTTATTTATAATTTCATTAATTTTTTCGTTTGAACTCGAGACTTTTACATAATATATTATTATAATTTATTTTGTTATCCATACCACTACATGCAATGCCATTTTTAAAGTATTTAAATTACTTTTGAGCTACTACTTATTTTATAGTTCCCATGAACTCATTCACACCATAAATATATTATATACTATTACATGCATAATGTAATAAATTATGTAGTTTAAAGAGTTCAGTTGAAACTAATTCAATAATCTGTGATTTTAATGTAAATATATCGTATAGACGTATAGTATACTTTGTGATACATATTCACGTAGGCAGACAGATCGTCTTATCTTAGAATCGTTTTTCATTCGCAATATTTATTATTGAATTCATATTTAACACGTAAATTAAATTATTTATTCAATAACGAGATACACTCGACAACTATAATACAGGAGATAGGTACCTACTTATCCAATTTAGTTTATTTACATCACCGTGAAAGACAGATCCGATTCCCTATTCCAATAGGTAACGAATGATATGGGACGTATAATAGGTCTGACAAAGACGTTAAATAGGTACAATAATAATGCTTTAAAAAGCAGCACGTCTACCTATTTTTCAGGATGTATGAGAGAGAAAAATCTCGTTGACCATGATATAATATTGTTAGGTACCATAATACATCATTTATAATGAATTATAAAATTAAAAACGTTCCAGACGACCTAGTTGATTCTGATATAGTATAGCAGTAATAATAATGCATCGTCATGCAGTACAATACCGAATAGCGAGGATGGAAGGAAATAACAATCGAACGAACGCATCATTACTATAATGTGGTTAACGGTATATAGGGTGTTTTGCCAACAACGGTCACCTCCCCATTTTTTTTCTTCAATAGCATGCATTTGAATTAAAATCCCAGCTTTCGAAAATATTTAACTATTATAAGGCCGATTTTTTTAACTATTTAGATTTTTAATTTTATTTAGAAACAACTCGTTAGTATTTCAATTCATGTACGTTGACGTTTTCCATGTAAATTGTCCGGGTCAATAGTACGCAAAGCGGAAAACGAACGGCTTTCGTTTGAAAATGTCTACATACCTAAGAAATTTATACTCAAATGAGTAGGTTTTAAATAGCAATATGAAATATCTGAGCTATGGAAATACGGTACTTGTAAGTACACTCCTAAGTCACAAATATCAAAAAGAGCAGTACCATTTAAACGATTTTACATTAACAGAGGGAATCACCCTGTGTTATAGAATGTACAGTGCGTTTCGGCGCTCTCCGGACGGTCCGGATTTTTGGTGGGGGGGAGGTAGTCAGCTGAGAGACGACAACCGTTTGATGAATAATCGCTTCGTTTTGTTTCGACGTAATTAAATGCCGACATCGAATATATCGTGTGCGATTTTCCGGGAAAATTTCGGTCGCGCGTCCGACACAACAATAAAACACGCGACAGTTGCCGGTCTGGGGCGAGCGGACCACCGCCGGCAGTCGCGCACACGCACATATTTTCACGCCATTAACCACGTACCCGTCCTCCGAATGCTCAGACATATATGCACTGTCCTACAACGTATATACATATATTATATCGGCGACGTACGTTATTATTGTTATTTGTATTTATATATTATATCACGTTGCGCCCCCCCCCCTTACGGGGCCTACGCGTGTGCCGGCGCGAGGGCGCGAACTGCGGACGCGTAAAACCGTTTTAACGCGCGCCGCGCCGCCGGCCGACCGTAATCATTCTTCTTCCGTGATGCAGTTCCGCTGCCCGCCGTCGCACTTTTTATACACATATTTTTTTTTTTTTTTTTTTTTTTATTCTATTCTCGCCACATGTCGTTACGGCCCCATTATCGTCCTAGTGTCGGTATAATAATATGTTATAATGCGTTCGTGTACGTCGGCACCCGCACGCATCATACATTATCGAGTTTATATATGTGTGTGTGTAAATATTATTATATTGTCACGATAACTCCGGCGTACGACGAGCGGGTCGGAGAGGTTTGGAAATCGTCTGTTAAACGATGGTTTTGTATGATATACGACCACCTTTCGGCCAACGCCATGTACGTATAGTAAATATTGTGGCTATAGGATAGATTTATATTATTATATGCTGCGCGTAAAAAAAAAAAAAATATATATAAAAATGGGCGTTTGATTTCGTTCAAACATGCAGAAATATGCAATGAAAAATTATATCGTATAATGTATATTGTAATGATAATTTACCAATATTTTTCAAACGATCGCAGAGAGAGGACATTTACTATTACGTATAGTGTTAAAACGAATCTAATGCAGAGATACTTTTATGTCAATTTTATTTTTTTGTTTTTACTCTTACTTTTAATTTTTAAGATAACCCACACAATTCTTACATTATTTTCGTCAATAACAAACGGTAACAACTGGTCTTATGAAATTGGAATATTAGCGTACGGTGGCATATATCATTTTTCTATCAAATTTCATTAAAATATTCCATTAGACGTGCATTTTTCGAGTTTATATTTGATATGTTCAGATATAAGGGACTGCACTTAGAATGTATAAAATAAAAAAGGGTTGGAATTTCTCTGCATAATACCAAAGTGTCGAGTAAATCGTGGTAATGGATGTGTTGAATTTGAGTTCAATGATATCATTGTTAACAAAAAACGATTTTTAGTGAAAATGGTCTGTCAGCCTGTATAACAAGTATACTGTAGGAACATTTCATGATATGTTTTTTTAACATTTCAATCAACGAATTTAGGTAATTTTATTATTAGTACTACTGTATGTTGAATGTTGATTTACAAAAATATTGTATTTATCATATTGTTAGCATTAAATTTATTTTAATTATACCTATTAATACCATATTATAATATTTACTTATGATTTAACATAATTTTACCATACAACTGTGTGAATTGGTTCATGAAAAAATAGATATTTATTTAAAATTAATAAACATAATATTTTTAAAATATGATTGCAGCATTACGTTTAGTAAAATTCATAATAAATGTAAATGTTTAAGTTACCACTAATAATGTTTTTAAATTATAACAAAATAAAATAAACATCATTATTCATTATTCATTATTATAATATGTAATTTAGTTCAAATTTGAACTACAGATATGAATTTGTATAAAATAATAGTGTTAATTTAAATTTTAGATTTCTTTCTAGTATGAATTAATTACTAAGGAAATTGTGTTAAATTATTCTATTTTGGGTATAAAAACTGAATATTTTTTAGATTTTTACTTAAAAAATAAATTTTAGTTTATACGTTTTCTTGATTTAGACAATCTCTGTAAACATTAAATAAAAAAATTACCTATGCATTTTTAATAATATCATACAAATATAAATACAACTTAAGCCACTCTATTATTTCAATTTCTCTTTTATTTAGTTTTAATTATGGAATAAATATTTTATACTAGAGTTAGACTTAAATTAGTTTTTTCCTATAAAACAAAATGAAAACAGCGTTTTTTTTTTTTTTTTAAAGTTTAATTAGTTGTTGGGTCTTTTTTAGTACTCTGTTAATAAATCTTCCATGAAACAAAAGTACTGTTTTTTTTTTTTTTTTTGAAAATTTAAAAAAATAGATTTCGAACTATAGGTTTGTGTAATTTTTAGTAATAATTTTAATAACATATATCATAGTATTTCAGGATCATGGAACCTCATTAAAATATACTCTACAATACAGCATAGATAAATTATATGGAAAATAAATAATTGATGTTTTTTCTTTTTTTTTGAGATACAATTATTCTGAAAGTACAAAGTTTTTATGTATAAAGTACCAAAAGTAATTCCATTTTCATTTGAAAAAAAAAAATGGGAAAAAAAATATCTAAATATTATTGTATTATTATAATACAAGGAATCCTTATACTTTAAAGCAAGAAAACAACCTTTTAAGATATCAAAACTGTTTTCACTATTTTCTTTTAAGTACCTATTTTTGTACGTATAAGTAATACAAAGAAATGAATTGTATTTCTTTATGTTTAACGTTATATTTTTTAAAGCCACTTATTAATTTATTTATTTTTATTAATACTGTTTCTATGTTGTTTGCATATTACACTAATGTAAATTAATATATTATATATTATGTATATTTTATGTTAACCTTAACAAGCAATATCAGTAAACACCATTATATTAATGAAGATTACAAAATACAAATACGTGTTGTTTTTGAACATTTTTAAAGTAAAGTTTTATTCTATGAGTAATATAATGTAATAATAATAATAATACGAATCTTTTCAACATTTGTAAACATCAAAGGTGATTTTAAATTAAATTCAAATATCTTCTTCATTAATTTTGTAAATAAAAATATTTTTTTCTTTTAATAGGAGAATACACAATTTAAGTAAATAAGTGTTAACTAAATGTTGAGTTAAAGGATACAATCAAAATTTTAAAACTTTAGTTTGTTTATACATGCATATAATTTAAAATATACTGTTTTTTTTTTAAATGTGTATTTTTGAAGCTTAAAATGTCATACCTACCAAATATCAATAGTATTCAATGCCTCATAACCTTATCTTTGTCTATGGCCAAGTGGCATCGACAATAATCATGATAATGTATCAATGATGAGTTTAAAAGAAAAGAAATTTTTAAAATTTAAAGTACCTGTGATATTTTTAAATTCTAATTTATAATTTAGAAAAACATATTTGTTACTATTATATAATATTTAGTGAATGAAATAAAATAAACAGGTTATGGTACTCTTTTAACAGTTTCTCCGGTACATGAAAGTTAAAGAAAAGTGGTCTGATTTATCTTGATATTTTGTGAATGTTTCTGTACTTTTTAAATTAATGAAATATACATGGTATATTTATATATCTTGTTTTGTAATTAGGTAACACACATTTATATACAAATTCAATTAAATGCACACCTAAACACATATAGTTGAACAATAGAGTTTTATTACTTAATATTATATTTAACTAAATAAATCGATTATACATCCAATAGTATTATCTTGAAAATAATAAACATACAACTATATTTAATTTTCCAATTTAAACACAATTAATTATTTGATTGTCAAGAAAAATATTTAAAATTTTTAAAAATATAACAGAAAGTGTTAATTACTGAAGTATATCGATTTACTATTATATATAGTTTTATTTTGGTAGCACATAACTATAAGACTACACACATATATTTTAGAATTGTATTATCTGGATGTCTGGATGGTGGTATAAATAATTGTTAAACTCTCATCATTACATAAAATGTTGTTATGATATTTAAAACCATTTAATTGAAGAAGCTTATTATGCTGATATGTAGGCAATGTGGATATAAAATAAACTCAAAGTATCATATATAATACATTTAAAGCCATATAATTATAAACATTTATATTTAATTTTTGTTTAATATATGTATTATTAGTAAATAATGCAGGTAACCTCACTTGCATTGTATACATAAAATTACAATGTAGGATTCTAAATTTTCGTTGGATGAGATATCATGCAGCACAATACAAATTATTATTCTAAACTATGAAAGTTATCCGTATTTTAGTAATAATATTATAAAAATATGTATTAATGTAATGGTGTGAACTGCTATTACGGCATTTATGTTGTGCTCTTAACCGAATTATATATATATATATATATATATACACACACACTCACATAATACAAATCAAGATATATGTGTCATTTTATGTACGTTTGTTTTGTACTTTTATGTTACCCCATCACACGTTCTCGCTTAACTATTTTTTATGACTTTGCTACATTTATTAATAACAACCATTCAACCACAATCAATATGTTTGCCGAACCAGTATCGTCCCATCTCTAGCTCCGTGTATTTTTATAAGGTCATTGGTGAAAACAAATATATAAATTATATTGTATTTTCATTTTATTTTAATGTACGTACAAGTTTAAGTCATTTGTATGTTTAAATAACTTTCCATATTTTTAAATTTGGTATTTATCTGTCAGCGAATAATCATATCATAGATAAGAACTTTTAATATTTACAGTCACGTAATTATTATATATATACATACGATACCATTAATTCTCCAGTAAAATAAACTCATCAATACATCTTTACTTGAGTTTTAATAGATATGCTAAAATATAACATAGTGTATTTATCAAAACACACAACAATATCAAATAGTTCAGCCTTAAAATTAATTATAAAACCGTTTTATATATTTTTTTTTTTTTTTTTTTTTTTTTTAAATTATTAAATGTATTATAAATTATATTAATAAATTATTAATTTTGTAATAATTTAAATATTATGTTTCAGGCAAAAGTATTTTATAGAAGAAGTTAAGAACAACTACAAAGTAAATATGTATCTTAATATTCAGAATTTGGATAAAAATGATCTGGGAGCGTACAGGTGCGTAGCGAGGAATTCAATGGGACACGCGAATAGTTCAGTACGAGTGCACAGTAAGTTCACTGAATAATTTATTGTATTGTTATTAACTAGTTATATATTATATATTATTTAATTATAAAATTATGTCGGAAGTTGATATATTATTTTTTTATGTAGGTTTAAACATACATTTTTAAAGAAATTAGATACAGAGAAAAAAATATTTGATAGTTAGTAAATTTGTTGTGGATTATTACATTTTGTAACAAAGTTCATGCCCTTGTAAAATAAAACAAATTTTTTTTCATGTTTTTAAAATACAAACTAATTACAATTTTTTTTTTTTTTTTTTATAATTCGTTTATCATTTATGGATGAAATTTTGCAGTTGTGTTAATACTCTAATTCAGCCACGTTATTCATAATTGTGCCGTCTGATAAATTAACTATTTTAAAGATCAGCTTGATATTATACAGTTATAACCCGCACATTACTTACGTCAACCCTTTCTATTGTTCTCTTATACGATATATATTACTAACTAAGGTAATTGATTTTGATTATCATTGCAACATTGGGTTTCTACATTATAATATCCGGAATCATTAGGTATTGCATAATAATTAATAGTATTTTGCGTATACATTCCGATCGTTTAATAATAAATACATATAATACTATACTAATACTACTGTCATACTGAATTAAAAATATTTATAATACCTATATCAATAATTATATCATAAAGAGTATAATATTTACGCGTGTACACCAGTTATGGTACATAATATTAAATTAATATCACTCGTACAATATACCTATTATATATTACAATATAATATTATTTACATAATGTGACAGAAATAACGGACAATTAATGTAATATACTACAACTATGTGATACACTTTGTTCTAATTATTATTATACATTTTTCTTTACATATTTTCGTTAAAAAAAAAAAAAAAAAAAAAGTTGTACTAATAAATATTACTAAGTTAACATTGCACTTTTTAGTTATTTTTGACGAAATCTCTAATATAATAAAACGTGATATCCGTATACGATAATGTTGAACTTTTTATTTTATTTTTATTTATATTTTATCACATAAATTCATCAATGGTCACAAAATCCTCTCATAAAACCTACTTTACTAGAGAGCGTATTTATAAAGATAGACTTCTAAGCTGTTGGTATGTAGAAAAAAACGAAACGTATCAAAATATTTCTGACATTAAGTTAATATTTCATAATTACGATATACAGGTAAAAATTATAAAAGCTGTAATCATGTTTTAAAAAACGTTTCTGAATGTGAAGGCGCCGAGTAGGTATATTTTCGCATAAAAAATCTACTTTAATTTTTTCGCTAAAACACTAAAAAAAAGCGTCTCACATTTATTGTTTTAACGATAGCACCTTGTACTAATCTATTTGAAATTAACTTACCCTGAGTGCACTTACATTCGAATTCTATAGTTAACGTGGTATTTTATTAATACATTCCTGATATATAACGTCAAAAAATAGTCTTTTAAACGTTAAACGCATGTTAAATATGTTTATATGTATAAAATCGGTATAACTAAATACAATGGCAACGTGTTTGTTTCATTCAAAATTGTTTTTAATTTATTTTTTTTTTTTTTACCAAGAAACTATGACACAAGTTTTAATAGGTATTATACATTTTAGTGGACATTTTTTCCTCTATATCTAGTTAATATACGGATTAATCTGTATTTTATTTATGTCAATACCGTGATTACCATTAAAATAATTACATTTCGACTTAGCGAAAAAAAAGCGTTTTTCTCTTTATGGTACGAACTAAGAAAAAAAAAGATAATGGTACTCCAACAGTATAATTTATCTGAAAGCAGAGTTTGCTCATTTATACCGTGTTGTTTTCTACGAAGTTTATTAATTTACGAACTTCTGAACCACTATTTATTGCAAGCTCGCATCAAAATATCAAAAATATTGTGCAAATTATAATTTTTTTTTTTTTTTTTTGAAACAATTATGTAAATTATTACGATAACTTGAGTAGAGTTATTATGTAAAATGTGGCAACTTTTAAGAGTAAAATGATAATAAATATGCCTGACGGCAACTGTGTTCTTTAAACGGGTCGCTAACTATTTCGTATTTCTTTAATCCTCTCACCACTGATCGTATAATCGTGCAGTACGGATGCTACTGCAAACTTTGGTGGTTTCGCGATTTTGTCGTGAGTTGGTCTGTTTTATAGGCCATGCTGTTGAATTATAACTACTTGTATAAATATTATGCACATAACTATAAACGATATACGTCGATATTCGTGGTTCATTTTTTCAACAATGATTAGTGAGCGTGTTGTATGCTTTAAAAGAATAAATAATAGTGACATCGAATTTAAGACCTTCTAAGTTAACCTGTTTAAAATAAATAACAAGCTTAACCGAAAATACCAAGTATTCAGTACTAAAACTATTGATTTGACATGAATCATCTTAAAATTACATTTAAATATTTAGATTTTAGATGCTAAACTTATAATTCTATACCTTTGTAAAAATACATATTTTGCCTAAAAAATAATTTCAGTATTGAGTATTAAATAATTTCGGTTTAGTTAAAATTTTATTTTTAGGGGAATTTTTTGTAAGATTCACATTAATTCTAGTGCAGATTAAAATATATCAAGTAATACTTTGAATTTCTATGTTTAAACGCACTAGTGATTGTCGAATATTATTCTAATAAATAGAAGAATTTGAAAATTATCATAAGATAAATATTAAAGAAAAATATGCCGTATAATTTTTATAAAAAAAAAAAAAAAAAAATAGTTTAATACGCAGAATTAAGTACCTACTAAAATGTGTTGTATAAAATTATAGTTTTATTTAAAAGTTAATTCAATAAATCTTCATATTTAAACTATTTTTCATTTTTATTGGAATTATTACTTTAAAAGTATATGGATTTGAAGGTAATAATAAAAGTAATAAAAAAAAATGAAAGTTTTAGTACTTATATTATATCTTAAATTCAAAAATAAAGCTAATATATGCGAATTTAATGTGTTTGGCATTATACAGTATTCTAAAATTCTTTATTCCAAGTAAAAATTGAAATTTGTGTATCTTTAAACTTAATCAACATTCTATACCTATTATTCATAAATAATTTAATTACTAGTAAAGAACATCATACTAAATAAATAAAAAAAATTAAAAATACTTGATAAACAAATTCATAGTTGGTTTTTGTAAAATGGCTTAAAATATTAATGTTTATAAAATTATATTACATGTTTTACTACCTAAAAAATATTTAAAAAAAACTACAAAATGCGTGAGTTTACGTTTAGTTATATAATATATATTTAATGGAATGGATTTATAACAGAATTAAATAGTAATAATTGTTATACGTGAATATCCATTCATATGGTACGCACTATGTTTATGTGTTTCCGAACAAAAGTTATAATGGTATTATGAAGTTCAAACGATTAAGGTTTGGAATGTGTTTTTGAAAACAAAATAACAATGGTTTTAGAACCCGAGTGAGAAATAAACAAAAAAAAGTACAGTGAGGTTTTAACGATATGAGTTCCAGTATTCGCAGCGGGTAATAATCTACACCTGGTAGGAGCCTAATAATGTCGTTGCGTGCAAGAACGAAGAAGGTCGAATCGCCTAGTAGGGTTTTTGGCAAATGGTCCAAAACCGTTTATTGGCCATCGTATATTTCTATTGATCATTCAGTCGTAAAAAAAAAAAAAAAATAATAATAATAATAATAAATAACGATGAAAGGAATTCGAATCATATTGAAAACTTAAAGACGGGAAATAAAATGTTTTTTTTTTTTTTATATCAGTTTATAATTCTGAAACTTATTAAAGGTACTCGTTCTTAATAGCTGATAAGTATATAACTCGAAAATACATAATTGATAATATAATGTTATGAGCTATAATACATCAGACAAACCTGTGATGTTTTATTTCCGAAAATTTCTTATGAATACATGTTCGACTCAAAGTAAACCTTTTTTACTTACACTATGCATTAACATTTGAAGTTAATACTAAGTACTATAAACTCAATATTATAATAAAGAAGTATAATAACTTAAATATAATGACAATTAATTAATACTTAATAGTAATTTATTGTATACATTATTGGTAGTGATCATATTACTATAATTTAAAAAATACATTTTTTTTTTATTTATTCAATGGCGATTCAGTCAAACCGTTAAGGAATAATTTATTTACAACGAAATTTATATTTAAACAGCATATTTACCTATTTACAATTATAAATAGTTAGTACTTATTTATTTTAATTTTTGAAATATGTATATAGTTAATATCAATATATTATATTATTTTTATAATATAACCGTAATCTATTTAGTAATTGAAATAAGTTAAACCGGTTATTATAAGGGTTATTTGGTTGTAAATATAACGTTTTAATTTGCGTGGCTTTAAAGTTTAATTTAAATTCACATAATCTATACAGTAAACAGCTATATATTATGTATATATCCATTTATTAAGACAGAAGATAACAGTTTGTTATCCTTTGTAAAGTGCTTTTTTAGCAAATAAAAATGTCTTGGTTGAGTTATACTATTTTTTTATTTTTTTTTATCGAGTTTTTTATTAATATTTTATTTATTTTTCGTGGGCGTCCATTCTAAATTGTCCCATCTAGGGATAAATGACGCGTGACCTCTACTGACGACACATGGTGGCGTTATCACACAGGTGTTAGTAATATCCACCGTTCACCGAAGCCAGCAGTACTATACAAATACGACAAACCCATTATCATAATATCCACACCCTGCAGGACACATTCGCAGTGCACGGGTGCAGAAAAAATGTATGAGGACCGTTTTCGCTATAAATTTGAATTTCGCACAGTGCCCTTCTCATAACCCATTTATATATCGTGGTTATAATATAAGTATAACATTCGTTATTATGTTTGGCTATACTATTACCCTAGGTATTGAAATTTGAAGTTTATATCGTATTAGTAGACAGTGGTAATACC